ATAATTCTCGTCTGTCCCTCTGTCTAAAGTAAAATTAATTGTGTGATTGTCTATTTGTCTATTATGTCATTCACTTCTTGTCAATTTGTTCGCGCCAAGTTTATTGGATTTTAGTTAGGTTTAAAACGCAGAACCCCGGCACGTGGCCGGCACTTTGGCGTGACTGGTATTCTGATCTTGTACTTTGTACTTGTCTTGTTTCATGTGATTTGTTAATGGGCTGTTAGTTCATTATTATACGAAACTTTTCACACGAAGGTAAGTACCACTTATTTATACATTGTATTTATAGTTGTACCTAGCTTTTTTATTGTGGTCTGGGATAAATAGTGGAACGTTTATAGGTAACAGTGTGTGGTCTATTCAGAACCATGTGCCGAGACAATATATGTATGTAGGTAGGTATATAATGTCCTTTGCGCCCCAACTTTCTTTTTAAAAACAAGATCTGGCTCGTTTGGAGCCACAGAAGTAACCCAACTATTTAAGAACAAAAAGCATGATTTTATTATAAAAGAAGAGAACATTGGTTTTTAATTGTGAAGGTTATATAAGTAGTATTACTTTCTGATAATCAGGTGTGAAACTGTGATATACTTTGTAATGTATCAGGTGGTACAGTTAGACGAACTTGTGGGCAGTACCCTGGCAGTGATTAACTAGAACTGGCTCACACCACTCAAGCAAGAGGTACTGTGACCTCCGATTAAGGGGAGGAAAGCGTTTAGAAAAGTTGTTACTGACGGAGTCCAAGCTGACAGCAATTGGAGGCCTTTTGGAATAAAAAGAGTTTTCTTTCGAACGGGTTCGTAAGAATAGTAGTTTTTTATCTGTCCTCCGGTTTGTATTATTATTTTTGTGGCTGGTCAGAACTACTTTTAATTAATTAAAGTTGTAACCATCTTTGCTTGCTTCCTGTTAATAAAATACGATTTACGATTCTATAGTGTCTTATTGTTACCAAAACATTTCCTCAATATAAAGTAATTGTACTGACCATGTACAGAATTAAAACCGACGTTTAAATGACGTCAATAAGCAGACGTCTAGCCGACGTCATTAAACAGACGTCTGGCAGATGTGTCATGTAGCGGTCCTTTGGACGTCCAAACCCGACTACCTCACGTCTTCTGGCCGAATCTCATGTCATCTTTTAGACGTCCATAAGACGTAGTGTGCTACCTGGGAAAGCTAGATTTGTTTGTTCAGCATTTTTTGAAAATATGTGACCTGCACTTATTTCCTAAGCAAATAAATTTAATTTCACATAGCAAACATTCCCATTATTTAAAAATCCACACTCAGTGGAATTCTCGGTTTTAGCTTCCATTACTAACACTGAAACAATAATATGTCTGTTAGTTGAAAGTTCTAAATATACATTTCTTAGCGAAAGTATTTATTTCCCAGGGTGGATGTTTCGAACCGACAAGAGGTCATGGATACGGCAAAGAAAATTCAGCAAGATATCGGGGATGTTACTATTTTAATAAACAATGCAGGTATAATGCCCCATCATTCGTTCCTAGACCACACGGAGCAGGAAATACGGAGAATAATGGATATTAACGTTATGGGAAACTTTTGGGTAACTCACTTTATAAATTATTCACTAAACACTATGTAACACACTTATGAGAAGTTCTGTAACTGAAGCAAATTTTGTTGATCGGAAATTTTTTCAATTATTAAAAACACGGAATATTTTTCGCGGACGAGCAACTTCCCATTTATTATTAATTTTTCATTGAACTGGTTTTGTCAGGCTCCATTTAAATCCAGCATATTCCAACTTCTGTTAGAACGACATTTTATACGTTTTATTTGTTATCTGGAAATCTGCTTTAATTATTTTGCGGCATCCTTATTAATATATTACGTCAGTTGTTGATTTTCACTCCGATTTCCGGGTCTCGTTCCTCGGTCCTTTCAAGTAGGTATTGCGTACTAATTGTAGTCAACTGCGGATGTTTGTGGGTTTGAAAAAATGCTATGATATAAGATGTGAATGTTCTCAATAAAGGGCTGGTACAGCGTTCGGAAACCCAAAGGAATTAAAGGAATTAAAAAATATATCATTGTGATATAATTACATTTCAGAGTTACTCGCAAAAATTATGTTAGGTGAAATTATTGCGGTATTACACATGCAATTTGTGGCCATGTAATAGGAATGAAACAGACGTAAAATTATCGACAAGTTTTCCTTATTACAACATTGTACTGACTTGAGATACAACTGATGATACGTTAATAATGGTTCATTATATTGCATACATGGCATAATTCACGGAGGGTAAAATTTATCTGTCGAGCAATTTGCGGAAATTTGAAACTACCATTTTAACTGCTTATATAATAATATAATTTCCATCTGGAACAAATCTCATAAACTGTTTTTTCATTAATTAATTTAATTTGTTATTTTAATATTGTTATACAGGGTGGTCTTGACCAATCAAATGAGAAGGTACATCCCAAAAATATAAGAAATTTTTAAATTTCTGTTGTACTATTGTGCAAATGTGTCATCTAGACTGCCATCTTTAAAAGTGAACTTTACATAGAAAAGTTGTAATAAAAGATAAAGAATATAAATAAGCAAACTACTATAAACTTTGAATTATTTTATGTATTGCATCTGAAGCCATATAGTTTTCAAGTGAAGAAGGGCGTCTTAACAAAAGTCCACATTTTTCGAGTATTCAAACATTTTCAATACATGTAAATGACAAAATCGACCGATGTTTCATTCACATATCTATAAACTTCCTCGTTCACAGTGTATTATATGACTTTTCATGCGGCTTTTAAATACAATATACGTGGTTAAAATTTGACAGGTATTATTATTTTTATAAATCTTGTGATTTTCATTGATGCTACCATTTAATTTAATTATGTTAACGTAATCCGGGCATTCAAGTCTTTGATTCCATATTTAAATCATCCACATTGTGTTTCATTACTTACATACTGTAGCTTCATTCCATAAAAACACCACAGTTGGCATGCTAAGGTGTACTTCAGTTGAACACACATATTTGGCTACCTGTTGTTGAATTTGGAATTTTAAAAGTGATCATGTTGCTTTAATTTAACGAATCACCTAACAACAGATGTCTTTGCGAAAAATAATCAAAAGCTGATTATCAACATCAGCATTTTAACGTGTGAACGTCTTCAGTCCGTATTGATATTCTGCTTGACAGTAGACTGAGATACTGGGAAAATACTCTTAAAACTTAGATTTTTTATTATTGTATAGTATCTTAGTGCCAAAACACAGCAGATTGTTAGTCGTCCCTGTGACCAGTTTCTGTATAATCTTGCACACAGTGTGAGCAAATAAAAAAAATTGTGGGCCGGCATACATTAACCATGATTTTCAGTAAATTAAAAAAGATCCTTTCAGGGATGCAGCTAAAAAATAGTTCTGTGAAATTACAGTTCGAGTTTTAACAATTAGCTCACTAGTAATCTATTATTTGCTATATTGCGATATTCCATAGACTTTTTAATAAACTGTCTACTCTTCTATTGGACGGTAAAATTCTTGGGTCCTGAATTTTAAACGTTTTCTTCACCTCATACTCATTTGAAATAACTTCAGGGCGGTCTGCAAGGTTCAACAATCCTCAAATTAATTTAAAATTTAGGAAATTTTCAGATCTTTTTCTACATGTATACATGAACTCCACTTCTTCCTTAAACCTTGTTAAGGAAATGATTTCTTACCAAAACGGAATTCTCAAGAAACATCGTTCTTTCAACTTTACGTTGCTATCGAATTACAATGCAACAAACATACTATTGAATGTATGAATCCAAGAACATGCGATGAGGTAAATGAAACAGTGCCAAAAATTTAAATCTCTGGAACAAACTTCCATCTTGAATATACAACAGCACAGAGAAAGAAATATAAGACGCAACTTGCCAAATTGCAAAAGAAATTTTCAATGCAAAAGAACAAAACATTTCAAACTCAATTGCATTTCAAAAAGAATAAATCTGAAGAAATCAAAGACAGCAAAAGTCAAAGACAGCAATTAATATCATCACAGACCAGCAAACTAAACAACAGATAGGTATATAAATAGCTCCCCAATCCAACTTTTAATTGCCACAGATAAAAATATTTTTGCGTCAAACGCTTTTCCTCTAATTAGCTTGAGACTTAAACTACTTGAAGCCAAATTGAATTAGCTTAATGAAACATTTTGCCTTTGAAAACAACTTAAAATTGTTAAGCTTATGACTGTATAAATATTTGGTTCACAACGTAAGTATTTTACATGAGTTATTGCTATTTAATTCAAAGAAATGAAATTGTCAACTCCTATAAAACAAAAGTGAAGGGCATAGACACAAAAAATTATGCACAATGGTATTACGTATTGCGATTGTAATTTATTAGATAAATATGAGAAAACAACAATGCGTTAAAGTCTGAGTGCAATTTAAACAAACTCTTAATTGAACTTGTTTTACTTGTTACGAAATAGATCATAATAAATATATTAGTTATGTCTAGCCAACAAACGAAATACACGTTAAAAGTCATAGGTAAAAAGAGAAAGTTTACCTAACAAAAAGTGTCCTTAGTTCTAAGCTTCTTGATGTTGATACTTCTGAAGCTAAAGTTTTAAGCATGTTTAAACAACTCAAGAAGTGTTTTTTTTTTATATGAAAGAATTGTACAATGTCGAATTGATGATGGATACACCAATCGGGAAATAAGGAAACTGCTCACAGTCAAGACTTTTGAGCTCAATATCATCTAGAGTAACGTATATTATCCTAAAACTAAACAAAAAGTATAGCCTTCAAGTAATTCAACGTTACGCACCAAACAGTACATCAGAGATTTGTATGAAGAAGAAACGACTGCAAGAAGATCCGAAAACATGAAATACTGTTCAAATATTGTCGACTTTAACGCAAAAATAGGCAAAAAGGTGGAGAACAATACAAATATAGGTGGCTTTGGCTTAGAGAATCGAAATCATAGAGGAGAAATGCTGTTAGACTACCTTCAAAATGAGAAAGAATATTGAATGTTCAAATATGAACACTTTCTTCAAGAAGCCAATACAAAGAAGGTGGACATGGAGAAGCCCAAATGGAAAAGTCAAGAGCGAGATTGATTATATTCTTACCAGCAAAAGAGAAATATGCGCAGACGTCACGGTTCTACGCAAATTTGATACATGTAGCGTCCATAGAATAGTTAGAGCTATTTTCCAAATTAACACCCAAATTGAACGCAATAAACTAACACGAAAACATGGCTACACAACACTGGAAGAAATAAGAAATTATCAACTGCGCCATTGGAAGGCTTAGATATATTGCTCTATTGCAGAAAATTACAGAAGACATTCAAACAGATAAGGATAAGATCAGAACAGAAACATCAAAGTTTCAAGCGAACACAATCGAGCTAATGGAGAAACGGAGAAATATGAGCAGAGATTCAAATAAATACAATCAATTAAACAAAATCATCCACTAAGAAATCAGAAACGATCTACGAGCAGATAACACCAGATTGATTCCAAAAACAATAGAAGGTAACAAGATTGAGCTAACGCAGGTTAAGGTAAAAATATATAAAATGAGAAATAAACAGGAAATAATCGTGAACAGCAAAAGAGTGATTCAAAGCTTATACCAAGATTTATACAGTTCAGTAACCCCAGAAGCAAAAACCCAGCCACAAACGATCACGTACGTAGGCTGCAAATAGAGATCCGTAGAGATTCCTGATATAGATAGATTAGAAGTAATTTTAGAGCTCAGACAAATGAAGAACAGGAAATCACTTGGGGAAGATCGAATAACAACTGAAATGATTAAAATAGGGGGAGATGTATTAGAAGATGCAATCAGAATACTTCTTAATAAATGCCTTCACCATGAAAAAATCTCCAAAATATGGCAAAACGCAGCAGTTATTTTGCTCTTCAAGAAGGACGATACCGGAAACATGGAAAACTATCGACAAATAAGTCTCTTGTCGCACCTTTACAAGCTTCTGACAAAGATTACTACAAATCGTCTGTCAAAAAAATTCTACTTTTACCAGCCAGTTGAACAGGAGGTTTCCGAGAAGGTTTTAGCACAACAGATCTCCTACAAACAATCCACTACCAAATCGAAAAAAGTGTTGAATACAATATACCTCTTCATATGGCTTTTATCGATTACCACAAGGCATTTGACTCGATTGAATAATGGGCGCTTCTAACAGCAATAGACACAGCCAGAATAGATACAAGATCGGCCACTCTCATAAAATACATCTACAAACAAATGCAACAATGAAGGTTGCAATAGACGAGGCTCTAATAACAGATCAAATCCCAATCAACAGAGGCGTTCGTCAATGGGACACTATTTCACCCCAATTGTGTACATTGGTCCTGGAAGATCTATTTAAGAAGTTGCACTGGGAAGGAAGAGGTATCAATGTCGACGGAGTATACTTAAACCACCTATTATTTGCCGATGATATTGTGTTAGTAAGCAGCGACCCCAATGAAATAGAGATCATGGTGAAAGAGCTCCATGAATAATACCACGATCATGAGTACATATAAGTATAGTACATATAAGAATAGACCATGGCATGTATACCTAGGTCATTTAATTAAATCGGGTAAGGAAAATCAACCGTCTGAGTTAACCAGGAGAATACGACTCAGCTGGGCGGCATACGGAAAATTGGGATATATTCYCAAAACTCAAAACATCCCCATAAATCTAAAAAGCAAGGTCTATGACGCATGCATCTTACCCGTATYTACATATGGGCTGGAAACTGTAACCCTTACGCAGAAAATGKCAGAACGCCTTAGAACAGCCCAAAGAGCGATGGAAAGATGCATGCKTGGAATCAGCCTACGAGACACAATACGCAATACAGAAATAAGGAGGAGGACGAAAGTAAAAGACATAATCGAGCGCGTAGCTGAACATAAATGGCGATGGGCTGGACATGTCGCAAAGCAGCGCCCTAATAAGTCGACAATACGGATAGTAAAATGGCGGCCACGATCAACGAAGACAATCCTCGGAAGACCCCAAAAGAGATGACTAGACGACATCAAGCAGTCGGTGGGCCGAAACTGGCCACAGATAGGGGCACATGGAGAAATTTGAAATAGGCTTATATCCAGCAGCATATCTAAAGCCCATCGCCATTTAAGTTCAGCTACGTGCTCKATTATGTATTYTACTTTCGACCTCCTCCTTATTTCTGTATKGCGTATTTTRTCTCGTAGATTCGCTGATTCCGAGCATGGCACCGCTCTTGGGGCTGTTCTAAGGCGTTCTGCCATTTTCTGCGTTAAGGTTACAGTTTCCAGCCCATATGTAGATACTGGTACGATGCATGCGTCAAAGACCTTTCTTCTATTTGTATTCTAATTTAATTAAATGACYTAGGTATACGTATTTATATAGATCATCTTACTCATGGTCTTGAWCTWATTCAGGTTCATTTTTAGTCCCACCCGCATTAACCSTTCATGGARTTCTTTCATGATCTCTATTATATCCATATCTATATAAAAAATATCAAGATTACTAASTGAAAAAGAATTAAAACGTTCTATGGGGTTCTTTACATGACACTCACGCTCCGTTGGCGCAAACGAACCTCTTATAACCGTAAATCGCAATTCAGCTGATTAGASTGGTACATTGATTGGTTTCTATTGTCTGTAGTTATTGTTGCATCAAACATTCTTTCAGAGTGTAGTTTCGAGCCAATTCAATTTACAAGTTTTCACCGTGGTTAAACATTTATACAACAAAAAACTAATTAAAACTGAAAAAATTTAGAGAAACAGTAAACTTATTTTTTAGACATTACAAGCATTTCTCCCTAAGATGAAAGAAAACAACAATGGTCACATCGTATCCCTTTCCTCAATGGCGGGATACGTAGGACTGATCAATCTTGTTCCATATAATGCCAGCAAGTTTGCTGTGCGTGGACTTATGGAAGGTTTATATGAAGAGTTCAGGTACAATTTCAACAACTCATTTTTATTTACATAGATACAGCCAGTAAACGTTTGAAATTGAAAAGTCTTTCATTCTAGGCGACACCCGAACAACAATGTCAATTTTACAACCGTATACCCTTTCATGACGGATACCGGGTTATGTAAAAACTATGACATTACCTATGAACTGCTTTTTCCATTGTTAAAGCCTGCGTTTGTAGCAGATGCAATATTTGAGGCTCAGAGTACCAACAGAAGAAACGTTTTGCTTCCTGCAGATATAGGACTAGCAGTGAAATTAAAAACCAGGTGATTTTCACCTTCATTCACTTTGAACAAACCTGACGTTGCACGTCATTTAACTCGATATGGAAAGATGGCTTGTGCTAAACAAATATATCGAATATTACGAATAGTTAAAGACGCTTATTTGTGTCAAGCATAAGGAATCTAAAAATATTATTTGTGACTTATGGCAATTCAGACAACGCAAACCGAAAACGAACCGGTAATAAAATTGACACTGCAGAACCCTATTCAACTTATAAGCTTTAAAAGATTTTAAATCCGAGTACACGTTCCTAATAAGCAATTACAAAAGGTGTACCTAACGATTAATTATTATTGAGACATGAATAACTAAGGATCATACAACTTAATGAAAGATATACCGGGTCTCCCGAAATGCTACGTCAATAATGACATCACGTACAGGGGACCGGAAAATAAAGCCAGTACTTATACATGGTTTTCGATCCGCCTTCCTTGTGAGTTCGCCAAGTGAACTTAGACAACTTGAAAATTGGAATATATTCTTAATAATTACACCGTTAGTTTGGCGTTTGTAAAATTTATGTAAAAGGAATTGTAAATGTTCCAAAATCCTGTTATTGTAGAGGTACAATCAAAATTAATATTTATGATAAGTGCAAATTTAACGTTGTTGCAGAATTTCAATGTGATATAGTGGTTAGAAAGGCCCATTTTGTGCAACAAAAACGATATACTGTGTACTTTTCGATTTATTTAACGGATTTTGAAGCAAAACTCTTTTCGTAAAGCAATAAAATCCAAACAAGCAGTAACCATGGAGGCCCTATTCCTGCGCCACCCCGGTCTCCCAAATTAAACTCCCTAAATTTTTTCTTTGGAATCATCTCAAAACTTTGTTTTTCTCTACTCCTGTTAACTCGAAAGAAGAGCCATGAAATATTAGTAGTAATTAAACGTTAAGATCATTTATCAAAATATTTTCACCAACAATTTGGAGACGCTCTGTATAAAACATGTGCGGTTTGGTTTTCTAATAGTGTTTTTCTTTAGATTTTTGCCACAAAAAGCATGCAACTACATATCGGACAACTTCAGAGCTGATCTGCTTTCCGACATACACCTTAACAATACTTGAAATATTAACAGTAGGTAAAAGTCTGCATTATTCCCAAAATATTTTTTTTTAAGCTGGCTATGTATTATTCAATAAACTTACCTGTAAAACTGATGTGTCTGTTTTTTCCTATTAACAATACATTTTCTTCCATAAATTTTTCATATTTTCCATAAATATTTGAGACAAACAGGAAATATTATATGTGAACTTGCCATCCTGCCCTAAATCAAAAAAGGAATTAACATACAGGGTGATTCAAAATTGGCGTCATTCCTCTGGAGGTGTTGT